TGTGTGTGTGTGTGTGTGTGTGTGTGTGTGTGTGTGTGTGTGTGTGTGTGTTTGTGTGTGTGTCTACCTGTGTGTGCGTATATGTTTGCTAGAAATCAATACACGAACAGAAAGGGACAGAATTAAATACTACGTTCTTCGTTCTGTTGAATTCTGATAAAAACCGGTGTTTTGAGTTTTACTTGAGCGTTCAGAAATGCAATTCATATTTATTAGGCCTATATTTTTAAGAGCATTTCTTATTTTCAACTTGTTGAGAATCTAAGCGACCTTTCAATGTCTATGGGACGATGATGAATGTTGCTTCATCCTTAATCTAGGCTACACATCTCTTGAATTAAACTCAACATTTATTGAGGCTTCCGTGTTCGTAATCGTGAGATTGCGGGTTTTGAGGATTCAAAGATGGGCTCGGTACTACGTTGTGCCCTTAGGGAAAAAAGGCAATTTACACCAATTTTTTCCATCTTTGGCTTGGTCCTGTCGGAGATGGATGTTAAATGCGGACTTCATAGTGTTACAAAGATGTTAAAGTTGTACAACACATCCGACATGTAACACGAACTTTTCCCCAAATTTGGAATTCTCAATAAGGTCCTTGTGGAGCTAACCACGAATCTCACTCGTCTTGACAACGGGGAAAAAATGCAAAGTGTTACTTATTTTTAGATCAGGCTTTTCCAGCATGGCATGTCTACAATATTTCCCCCTCATCTTTCTTTTGTTTTTGCTTCGACTTTTGTTTAAAGGCAAAGTTCTAACGCTCAAAATAAGTATTTTAATTGCTTTGGCGGAGATGTGAGACAACCACATCTGCAGTTTTAACACTTTGATATACCATGTTTTCGGAAACGCTAATGATTTCTTGAACTGACTTTCTAAACCAACAAATTATCCAAGAGCTCACATACCTTTCTGTAATAGGATAACATTACGTATCTTGTTGGCTATCTGATCACAGAAATAGGTTCATCCGTTAACCACGCTGGTCATCACTGATGTAATTAAGTAGAACGTAACGTTATGGGTTTCAATAATAGAGACGACCGTTGACTTACATTGCTGATCAACTGATTGGGAACTCAAAGTATTTTCCTGCTTTGTGTTGAAATTTGTGTAGACATGCACACGGCATGCCTAAATGAAACATGAAGTTGATCTACAGAACTGGACAATGGATACCCTTGTTGGAATTTTGGAAAGATACATGTGTCTGGATTCACCAAAGACACGTAAACATTCCAGGAAACTAGGTCTAAAAGACAAATATAAAGCATTTGAGTCCATCTTACCAACTAACACTCTCTCCCCAAAATTGTAAGCATTTTATCAAAGCATTGGATAGAGAGGCACACGCTCTAAGGTTGCTGGATCAACAACAATTCGAAAATAAATGTGGTTGCTGTATTGAACAATTAGATTTGCCTTGGCAAATTATTCATACGGCGACGTTAAAAAAGACATGCCAATGCCGTTAACTCTGTTGGTAACTCTGTTTGTATCAAACTGAATTATTATGAGCGTTAGATTCGAAAATCCCTCTGCTTTACTAACCTCACCACACTTCATAATATGAACAACAAGAACAAATTTGGTCAACTGGTCAGATCTCTGTGTGTTTCATACTCCCCAGGACATGAAGAACCAGGTATTAACCACAAGCGGATGGCTCAACGTGGTGAGTCTTTGTTTGTGTGCTGTGGGGATATATGGTCGCTTTTAAGCACAAGGGGGCTATCCCGAAACATGCTGTTTGGAGAAAGTCGAAGATAACTTTTTTGGATCTTATTCGTTTTCTTTAAAAGACAAGAAGCGTTTTCTCTATAATCGAACAAATATACACACCAATGAAACCAAACTTCTCTTATAGGTAGGCTAATGCCCACGTTTGGTGTAGGTTAAGATTTCTGGAAACCCCTGAAATCTTGGTTAGCCCGCTTGTCCTTAAAGACCATATAGACGTCTGTATGTACAACGTATATATGTGAGGCAGCGTGGTGGAATCAGACTCTCGTCAATTTTTTGGGCATATAGAGGTATTAGTATCATATTAAAGCTTGTTCACTTGTCTTTATTTGTGTGAAAAAAATATCCATTTATCTTGAATACAAGTCGAGATATTTGCGAATGAAGGAGGTGGGAGTGACCTGTTTTCAGAGGTAAAATTAATGAAAAATGGCCTCCAAACATTAGCTATTTCCTTAGCTTAAGAGTCCTTGGTAACTGAAAATTTTTATTTTTTGTGCATTTAATCAACATTTTTCTGAAAAATCAACACAGAAATGAGTTGTTTAATGGGCATGAAAGGTGTTGAGCCAAAAAACCGAAATTTTATAAAAATTCACAAACCTACCGAAAAATGCAAGTTTCTTCACTTTGATCATTTTGACGCGAACCTGATTCCACCACGCTGCCTCACATATTATTTTTATATAATTATGATTTTTATGACTATGAAGTGCAAAATAATATTATTGTTCTCTGCCTTTGCTTTTCTGGATTTCTTTCTTTTTCCTGTTAGGAACAGATACTCGTAACAATAATGTGCTTTTATCACAGCACCGTACCTGTACCGTTTATTTTGTTTTGTTTACGTGCAGGAAAATAGAACTCATGTAATCCCGAAAAGTAATTAATTGAGTAAGAATTGTAATCAAAATATGAAAGCTGTGCAATACTTTTAATACCTGAGGACTACAGGGGAGAAAACTTCCTGTGAAAATTTAGATCCAGTGACTTTCTGTTGTTTTCGTACGCATAATATTGTTTGATTGTTTGCGTTCCACGGTTTAAATATTCATCTGCTGGTTATTTTAGACAGTTTTAATCTTTTTATGTTATCATTATGTCGCACAGTTAGGAATTGAAGAAAAGGTCTATGGTTTTGGACATCACCAGTTTTATCCCTGTAGTCTTACTCTAATTTCGCCTGTCTGTTCTTTTAAGAAGCTTTTACAACTCGGATAAGGGTTTTACCAGGATTGCTAGTAGATGATAAAAAGATGATAATGTAGTATTTGTTGAAAAACAGGAAATTTCCTACCGGCCTAGCCCTGTGTTTTACATTTCAAAGACGTACTGGGAGCAAAATAAAAGCCCATTATTCTCCCCTTTAGAGTATTCATATTACTTTCCTACCGATCAAAGCTGTCCAGACAAGATGCCTATAGAATGAGTCCTTGGGCAAAGTACGATCATTTGAATGTATACAATCAAACAAAAAAGCAAACAAACAAGCAAGCGAACAAAGGAAAATAGCGTTGGCCAACGTGTGTCTGTAACATTGATCAGTAATGGTGTTTTAGGTGTTTATGAAATCGTCATTATAACTTATAAGTATTAATTATTATTATTCATGTTAAAGGGAAACAAAATTGTTGCAATTTAAATGAAGTTGCGTCTTTCAAATTCCAATCTATCCATAGAGATTCCTCCAAATAATAGTTATTTGCTGTTTTGACATAAATCACCTTTATAGGAACCCCTGTCCAAAACTTACTTGATTCACTGTATACATATAGGGCCAACATTCTCTGTGGAGTTTGTTTCAATTTGGGCAGTCCTGGCAGAGTACGAATCTTAAGAAAATGGGGGGGGGGGAGGGGTAAGTGGTTTCAGTATCTTTTCCCTGCTTTGTACAACCTAACAAGTTTGCTTCCCGGGAAGCTGAGAATGTTTCCGAGTGTTCTATGGTCTGCTCGGGTAATAATATAGTGTAAAGCGCACAGAGCTTGCTTTCGAGTGGGGACATGCGCTATACAAATGCTATTTATTATCATTATTATTAAGTTCCATTTGTTGTGACGTCTGTTTCATCGTTTTACAAGTTTCCTGGTTTACCTGCAGAACTGGGAGGATGAGTTTCTGCGTTGGAACAAGAGTGACTACGGTGGGGTGGAGGAAATCACAGTCAGCCAAAGTGCCGTGTGGCTGCCGGATATACTCGTGGAGAATACGTGAGTGATGTCTTGTGTGTGCTGCTTCGGCGAGCCTGTGAGTGTGTGTGTGTGTGTGTGTGTGTGTGTGTGTGTGTGTGTGTGTGTGTGTGAGTGTGTGAGTGAGTGAGTGTGTGTGTGTTTGAGTGTGTGTGTGTGTGTGTGTATGCGTGTGTATGTGTGTTTGTTTGTGTATGTGTGTGGGTGTGTGTAAGTGTGTGTGGGTGTGTAAGTGTGTGTGTGTGTGTGTTTGTGTTTGTTTGTGTATGTGTGTGAGTGTGTGTGTGTGTGTATGTGTGTGTGTGTGTGTGTATAAATATATAGAAAAAGAGAAACATGAAGAAAAAATCGTTGGACAGGGAAAGTAATGAGACGGTGAGAGGGGCAGAGTGAGGGAGAGAATGGTTGAAGCGGGAGAGATAGAGAGATATACGGAGAAGGGAGAAAGAGTTAGGAGGGAGAGAGAGAGAGAGAGAGAGAGAGAGAGAGAGAGAGAGAGAGAGAGAGAGGGGGGGGGGAGCGAGAGAGAGGGAGAGAGAGAGTTGGGAGAGAGAGAGAAAAGGAGAGAAAGAAAGAAAAGAGAGAAAAAGTGAGAGAGAGAAGAGAGAAAGAGTGAGATAGAGACAGAGAGAGATTGGGAAGATGGTGGGGGGGGGGGGGGGAGGCAGGGCTTGAAAGGAGTCGAGAAAGAAAAGGATATAATCACTGACAGAAGAACGGACTGAAACACTAGAAAGCGATTCAGAGGGAATTGTCAAGGCAAATGCA